TCTGTTGCACATTCCTTTCTGGCATGCCACACACACACACACACACACACACACACACACGCGCGCGCTCTCACAGGCACAATGGATACGTAGCTGTTGTAGTATCTGTGTGCACGCTATTTCATCATCATCAAACTGCGGGTACGGGATCAGGGCTGGCTGCTGGCAACGCTGCTGGTTGCGAATTTCGTTAGCTGATGACATGCAGAGCTTCCAGCAATAAGTGCGGCCAGTAGCCAGTGCTCCGGCGAGTAGACCGCCCGGCCCGTGCCGGAATTTCGCCTGGCACCGAGCACAGCTCAAGCGGCACAGGTATTAAACAACCAACCAGCAGCAGAGAGCTCAAGTTGATCGCTTTCAAACGTGGAGCGCCTGCAACACGTTGTGTAAACAAATCAGCTCAATCTGCCTTAGTGCTTCGCTTTTAATTGAACACTTCTGCAAACGAAATGAACCAAATTCCAAATTGGCACTGGCCGCAGAAAGAGAGAGTGATAGGGTGTGATGGGATGCGGGAGAGAAAGGGAGAGAGAGAGAGAGAGGGAGTGCGAGGGTAAACAGAAAGAGATAAAATGGAAATTATAAGTGTTGTGCATTGTTTTCTCAATTAGTGAATGGCGAGCCACAAGGAAAACCTGGCCAAAATACGTTAATGCCAAATTGATTGGAGCCAGAGGAAAAAGAGAAGCAAACAAACAAACAACTGAGTGGGCAAAGGAAATGATTCTGAGAAATACCTTTTTGCTTGTTTTGAATTGATTGCCATCAATTAAAAAGTCTCAAATCTATCCTTCTCCCTCTCTCTCTCTCTATCTCTCCCACTTTAGAGTTTTTCGTTTCCTCAATGATTTATCGCTGAGCAGCAGCACTAATTGAGTCGTTTTATTGTCGCCTGTTAGCTGTTCATATTTTACTGAAAAATCTGATGAACAAACAGTCGCGACACGCAATTATGATCTACACCCATGTGACCCAATCCCCACAGCTAAATTCTCTTCGTTCCGATTAGTGTGTGTCCTCTTTTTGTTACGCAGTGTAAATCGCAGTTACACATGCAAATGTGACTAAACCAATAATATGTATGAGCTGAAAGAAGTGCGGGACAGTTAGAGGGGACCACGTGCAGGGCTGGGTGAACAACAGCAGCTGCTGCTGCTGCTGCTCCTGCTGCTGTCGATATTTGTTCAACATGCAAAAGCTACTGCTCGAGGGTGAGACCGTCAATATGCAACATGGCATTTTTAAACGCCGGACATTGCACAATTTATATCCATTGAGCGGAGCACTCACAAAGGGTGTAATAAGCTATGCAACAGCCAATGGGCGACAATTAAAAATATGCACAGGTACATCCCACCTACCTGGGGTAGCTCGAAAATGCCTCTGCCAAGCTAGAAACACGCAAAGCTCAATTAAAACTGAAGCCGATTTTAACAATGGAAACCAGTTGGATTTACGGGGATAATTACTTATTTTGATAGCTTTTTGTTATATGAAATTTCTATAATTAACTTATACGTTAGATATTGGCTTATTTGAAACAAATCACATATTTGATAAATTTATGAATGGATTCGATTTCAAAAACAACATAAATAATGAATATATTAAATAAAATATTTAATATTGTTGCAAAACTAATATATTTATACTCATTTAATACTTTATTCCGATTGCTCAGCTTAAAAGCTTATTATAAGATTTTATCTGTTAAGCTATATAATTTTTTCAATTTTTTTTTTTTAAACACTTCTACAAATTATTATATTTAAAATCTTATTCTACGTATTTCTTGTTATATTTATTTTTATTAATTGAATTATTAATTGATTCGTTGATTTAATTATTAATTTACTTGTGTATTTATTTATTTAATTTTTTTCTTTTTTATATATATATTTTTTTTATTTGTTTATTTGTTATCCATTTACCTACTTATTTATTTGTTTATTATTATTTATATATATTTATTTATTTTTATATTTATTATATTATTTATTTATTTTTTATTTTTTTAGTTATTTTTATTATTTATTTTTAATTAATTTATTTATTTGTTTATTTTCTTTTCCCTTATTTAATTTTTCCATGGTGTCTGCGCTTCCATCCGTCCACTGTTGTCACCGCTGTGCATTTTTATTTTCATATATACTTTTTATCAATATGTTCTGCAAGAGAGACCCGGCGAACGAGCGCACCAGCCCTGCCAAACGAAAGTTAATTGCCGTGCAATTTTTGTATGCATAAATAACGGTAAATTTGTTATACACATCACTTTGATTGCGCACGCTAAATCATCACACAGCAGCAGCAGGAGCAGCAGCAGCGGGAGCCGGAGCAACAGCAATACGTTGCCAGAGAGTTAAAACGCGGCCCAAAACCAAGCGCAAAATCGTACTGAAAAAAAGAAATCAGACATAAGAAAAAAAAGCAAATCACACACACAGTTACAGTCCGAAAGCAAATGCCCGTTAAAATATTTCACATGACACAAAATATGTTGATAAAAGAAATATATAAATAAAGCACACAATATACATATGTCTGTATATACTATATACATATACATGTATGTATGTATGTATGTATGTGTGCGATGTACACACTCGCATATTTGTGCATGGCACATTTTTATATATTTACGTCAAATAAATTATTTAAGCACACAAAATGTTTTAGATCCGAGACTCTTCGCTGAAAAGCCAGGCGGAAAAGCAGCCAGCAACATGCACGAGCTCCACACAAATAAACATGTCGATATTTGGATTTGCCCGAAATTTCGTACCATTCAATTGCGGTCTAAATCAATAGATGCAAACTGTATCCAGCACAAATATTTTCGATTTCTAGATAATTATAGATGCATTAGGCAGGCATTTATTAAAGGCTGTGAAAGCTTCAATGTGCAGCCTGTTTAATCATATTGATGGATGCCAGATGGATGCACTGCAACATTGGCCACAATGCCACGCCCCCATTTTAACCTTCCCCAGCCTGTCTATCTCACGAATACTTGGAAAATGTGTTTGCCAGCAGATGGAAGACGCTGACAGCAGCAGCAGCAGCGGCAGCGGCAGCAACTGTAGCGGATTGTCAAGCATCAAAAAACACACCACAGAGCATAAAAGCTTAACACACACGAAGACACAACACTCTCTCTCTCTCACACACACACACACACATATAAAATTCATCTGTCATCGCGTGTGTTGCGCCAAAGCTTATGACGTTAAGCCGTTAAATGCGCCAAATGCATGCAAAACTTTACACAACTGCAACTGTATGTGTGCGGGTGTGCATGTGTGTGTGTGTGGATGTGTCGAGTCTTCAAGGGTCGCTTTGTTAACATGTACAAGTGTGCGATCTGCATACATGCGGCATCAACTATTTGTGGCATGAGCCGCAGCTACATGGATGCAGCAGGCTTGTCTTCTTCTTTTTTTCCATTTTTCCTTTTTTTTTGTATCTGCGCGCAAAACCGGGCAACCGAAAAGCGTTCAATCATCGTTAGTTACCATATTCTGTTGCCTGCCACTGAGGTAAGCCGAAACGCTGCCAAAAAAAAAAGAAAGAGAGTCTTCTTCCTTCTTCTTCTCCACAGACAAACACAAACAAACACACACAAACACGCACACACACATACAACTCAACACAGGACAACTCAAGTTACAAAACAGTTTGAGCTTAAATTATGAGATGCGCAAGGAAGACAACGAGAGAGGGGAAAAAAGAGCGATAGAGACGGAAAGAACACGCATATATTATTCTCAATTCTTTTTTGTATATACCCTGGAGAATACAGTAAAACGTAGGGGTATATCTACTGTATTTCATTTTTACTTTTATTTTAATATTTTTTTTTTTCTAATTTTTTACATTCTGTTTAACACTTTATTTTACGGTTTGTTGTTGCTTTCTCGGCAGCATTTAATATACAAATTATATTAAATTCAGAAAGTATCAGAGTATTCATATATGTGCCCATCTGACATTGACTGCCTGTCTGGTAGAGCAGATTTGCTTGCTTGCCAAGCATTTGATTTTCCTGTCGAACCCATATCAATTTTTTTGGCAAACATTTTTTCTGTCTGCAACTGTATGAAGAAGAAAATGTTGTACCTACATCTTAAGCTGAAATCAAGTTATATTTTACTGCTTGAAATTTTGTTCTTCTATGAAAAGTCAAAAACCTAACATACTTATGTTTAAATTAAAAATAAATTAAATTGAATAAAAATAAAAAAATAAAAATAAAGAAAAAGTGATTCAATCAATCACCCTTTGATAAAATGTTTCTAATTTCCTTAGACTGTCTTCATATTACTTCCTATCAACGCGTCAAGTAAAACCCATTAAATTTAGTATATAAAAAAAAAATTATAAATAAAATAAAATTGTAATTATAATATATATTAAAATAAATAATAATAATAATAATAAATATATTAAAATAAATAAATATATCTGTGCCTGTTACACGCAAAACTAGCTAAAACAGGGTATTACGCAGTCGGCCTTCAGCAATAGATAAGCACTTGTACTTATTTGGGATTAAACTGGGTTAGTGCGCGTCAGTTCATACAAATTCATGGATGCACGGATACGTTATTGACGTTTTGAGGTTGGCTAACAGCAATTTAATGTAATTAAGCTACACTTCGAGGTCTGCACGTAAGTGAAATTCAAATATCAGTCAAAAAGGAGCCAAAGCTCTCAGCAGGCAAGGGCTGAGCGAAGAGAATGTGCGTTTGTATGGGTGTATGTGTGTATGGGAAGTTGATCAAGTGCGAAAGGGATGACAGTCGGCAGGAGCATTGACTGCACTCATTTGTGTGTTAAAACGCAAGTTGACAGCAAGAATTTTTGATTTAACCAAGTGCATGATCTATGACAGCAAATGTGTCCCGCACAAAGGCAGTCCAGGGCATAGCCCAGCGCTCACACACACACGCACACACACACATTCAAAGAGAGAAAACCAGTCGCAGGATAACTGCGAGCCACATTTGCTTGGCATGCTCCGTCTATTGCCAGTCAAGAGTTAACACGAATCAATTACGACACTGCCAGCCAACGCAGAAAGAGATGGCCAACAAATGCCAACAGTGGGTGTAAGTGCAGTGCACAGCCATCAAGTGCGATAGAGATGAAGATAGAGTTGCGAGATGGCGATAGGGATGGAGATGGAGATGGAGATGGAGAGATGTGGGCAGTCGCAGTCAGTGGAAACTGCTGTCATATGACTTTTGACTTGGCTTCTGACTGAAGGATTTACAATTTAAAGCAAGTGGCCAATAAAGCAGATGAACGACCAAAAACCAAACGCAGAAAGAGCACCAGCAAAATGCAGCACTCGAAGCTGCACAGACACAGACACAGTCGGATGTATATGTATATATAGAGCTGGAAGTCTACTCGTGTATTCCGAGTACTCGAATCCTAGCCAAGCGGTCATGCCAATATCAATCGACTTTATGGTCCGCTGCTGACAACGACAGCTGAACACACATGTGTTGCTCTCTCTCTCTGTATCTGTGTGTGTGTGTGTGGGTGAGTGGGTGGCAGTGTGGGCTACACGTATGGGTGCATAGAGTGTGCCTGGCTTGATGTAATAAAAACCATAATTACACCATAAATGACAGCTGTTACACCGGCCTTCCTAGTTGTAGTTAGATTGCCGGACAGCTGAACGGACGCATATTAACAGCAATTTTGCAACTATAAAGCAACTAATAGCTGGTTATTATCGTTGCCACCGCCGCCAGCAGGTGATAAAAACGTGTGCGGCATATGCATACAGAGGACAGTAAATTAATAAGCCTCAATCTTAGATAAACAAGGATTGAAGGCTTATCAAATTAGCACAATATAACAAAGAGTGCTTGGAATAAAGCTGAATAGCATAGGATATGGGCGACTAATAGTAATAATAATGGATTATAATATGTGGGAGAGTGAGATAAACAGTTGCTCAGCCTGCAGATAGTAGAGATTTAGTTTCATAAATTACTATATATTATTTAAAGATTTTTAGAGCTGTTAAAAAAATTGTTTGTTAGAGAGTTTTGAGCAGAAAGATAATGTATTTGTATACCCAGACACCATTAAATATGGGATGCAACAGACACAAAAAGACGTGGCAGTTAACTAGCTGAGTTGATATATGGCTAGTGGGATACAGTTAAATATTTAAAGCACACTCATTGATGATTGATTTTCGAGTCGAGTCAAGCTTCAGCGTTTCCATTCTTAATCCCTTGAGTATTCTCGAAAATTGATCGACTTCTGCCATAATTAAGCCTTCCACAGCACTCAAACGTTTCAGATAGTATGATCGATATAAGCACACTTATTGCATTCAATCCGAGAAGCTTTACAGCACTATTAATACGTTTGTTGATAGTCGAATAATTGACCAATGCACGGCACGCTGCCTGAACTAATGAGGCCTGAAACTCGTTAAACAAAAGCAGCAAGAACTGCATAATTAAGCACAGGTGCAGCAAAGATTTCAATTAGAGCCGCGCAATGGCCAACAAAAGATAACCAACGGCACATTTTTGGTTCACATTAACATACGTCTGTGTATCGTGTGCTCCAGTGCGTGTGCGAGTATGCGAATGTGTGTGTGTGTCTGTGTGTGTAATCAATGCAAATCGTAGAGCGCACATCAGGCCCAGGCAGATGCGACACCCACACCCAGACTGCTCACAAAGGCAGTCCAAATAGATGCCCTAGGAATAGTTTTTGCGTAACTCATTATGCAGGAGGAGCGCATTTTACAGAATTACCATTGCCAACACAGACAATGCATACACACACACGCACACACCCAGACACGTGCACACACACACACACACACACATGCATCATTATCATCCAACTAGCCAGCCAAGGCATGCAGCACAGTCGAAAGAGAAGCTGCTCCTGCTGCTCCTGCTGCTGTTGCTATTGCCATTGCTGCTGCTGCTGCTACTGCAGTAAATAATACTGTACAAGTGCTTGGCGGATGTGGGCGGTGCGGAGTGATGGCTGCCATGGCAGCGATATTTGTACAGCGTTGCGGACATATCGCGTTTTGAGGAATCCATAGCTGCATACTATGGTCACATCAGCAAATTCTTCAGATAAAACAACATTTAGTTTGCCATATATAACTATGATATACTTTACATTTTATTGTTAACATAGCTAACGGCTGTAAATGACATGAAATACTTAACATTTCATTGACAACATGGTTTGTTGCTGTTAAATTAAACTGTAAAAGAGGCTTAGACAAGCATGAGTTCTACAATAGAGAAAGATCTCTAACAGTTGAGCTGAAAAGCTCATACTTATATATATTTAAATTTGTATATGTATAGTTATGCAAAAAAACATATCTAACTTCCTGACTTTATGCAGTTTTAAAGTCCAACTTTTGCAGTTGTTTTTAATTTATCTAACTATTTAAGCGCAAATTAAATTCAACGTTTGCAATTAATTTCTTGAAGAACTTTTGCATTTTAATGCGTTTATAAAAGTTTTAGTTGCGTTAAACAACATGCGCTATGCCATGGCAGAGCAACACAATTGTGGGCGGATGACAGGTGCTGATACTGCGCTGCGAGCGGAGAAACTCGGAAGCAACTTCTAATGGATTGAATGGAGCATGCGACGAGGGACTCGAATAACAAATGCAAGAGTTATGGTAGCTGTGATGAAAATAAAAACAATTTGAATATTCGTTTGCCAGCAGAGGGGCGCAAAGGCGCCGGAGAAACTACCGGAACTAGAACAAAGGTAGGGCTGAATATATTGGGACTATTTATATTTATGATCAACATTAAGTGAAAAATCTGGCTGATAGGTATATGATCATTAGCTTCAGCAAATTCTTAATCTCTATCTTTCGTTCTCATATTCTCTCTCTTCCACTTGGTCACTCCTCTCTCACACCCTCTCTACGTGTATATCTCTCTCTCTCACTCTCTCTCTCTCTGTGCCTCACCTTCTATCTCTCTCTCTTCTCTCTTTCTCTTCCTCTCTCTGTCCCTCATCCTCGCTCTCTCCCTCTCTTCTCTCTTCTCTCCATCTCTCTACCATCTCTCTCCCTCTCCCTCTCCCTGCTTCCTCTGCTCCTGTTTGATAAATGTCTCAAAATCAATTAACTTTGCCCATAGTCCAGGCTCAGGCAGGATGTACTCTATAGCTATTGGCACCTCATCAACGGGCATGAGCAATGTAGTTTACTCGTTTTGCTACTTTCGCCGTCAAATTGTGGCAAGCGGGCAATTGGCCCCACTCTGCGCTGTATGCCAACACTTCCTGTACTCTGTCTGATTGTGAATTGTATATACATGTATGTGTGGGTGTGTGCGTGTGTGTGTGTGTGTGTGTGTGTGTGTCGCGCTTGTCCACTTCCGTGACGAGGTTTGTTTGGCCTTTTGTTTGGGCACGAGCCAACGCAGCACATTTGAACGAAATTAGAGCGTAAAGAGCCAAGTCTGGACATGTGAACACACACACACACACAGAGAGAGAGAGAGAGAGAGAGAGAGAGAGAGAGACACATATATTGAAAAGCATTTGGAAATGCGGTTAGTGAAGCGACACAGACCGCTAATGTGTTGTTTATAAATCTTGGCCCACAATCAAATATATGTGTGTGTGTGTGCGTCAATTAATTAACACACACTGCACACACACACACACATACACACACACGCATGCTACACTCACACGCACAGGCATTTCACACAATATGGCCAAAGTTTTCAACACATTTCGTGATTAATTTAAATGACGCATAAACTAAGCAGCCAGAAAGCCAGAGAAAGCCAAAGGAGCACTACAGCCACCCAGGCCATCCAGCCTCCTGGCCGCTTTGATTGGCCGCAAGCACAAACACAAACACTTACTTGGCCAACTCCATGGAGACGCTTGTCTTCCAGCAGCGTCTGGTCATTGGGTCATGCATTTTGCATGAGCCCGGCCAGCGCGCAAGCTTTTAGTTGGTAGCTAATAGCCGTTTAGTGGACTCCTGGTCTGGTCTGGTCTGGGGTCCGGCTGGGGTCCGGCTGGGGTCCACGCTGGCGTAGCGTGGCGTGGTGTGGCCTGATCTGGTCAGCACTCACAAAAGCTGACGGCACGCAACCGCACGCATTCGCCACGCAGCCACAACAAAATGCAATTGACGAGAAATGTCTGATACATATTTTATATACGGACTGTGCTTCATCAGTACGGCATGCCACATGTCTCTTTTGTCCGGCCGAATGCGCGTGTCGCTGCTGAAATAGTTCAAAGTCAAAGCATTGAGTGCGCCAAAGCCACAAATAGAAAATTTGCAAATATTTCAAAGCAACCGAAATGAGCAACTTTAATCAAGTTGCAGCCAGGGAATCGAGTGGAATTAGTGCAAATTGGAAATTAATCGTTTAAATATTAATATAAGTGTATTAGAGTTAGTTGAGAATATTAAGAATTATTAAGAATTAAGAAAAGAGGAAGAGTAGATGTTATAAGAGATAGAGAGGGAGAGAGAGAGGAGAGAGGAAGAGATAAAGAGAAGGGAGTAAGATAGAGAAAGAGAGAGAAAGGAAGGGAAGAGGAATCAAACATAAACTTGAGGAATGACATAGAGAAGGGGTCGACAAAGAGAGAGAGAGAAAGAGATATAAAGGAAATCACTTTAAATATAATTTCCGATAGTATATACATATATATGCAAATATATACGCATGTAGGATTGTTTTTGCAAATATATCATGCTAAGCATTTGCGAGATAAATGAAAATTTTGTGAATTTATGAAGCTCTATTTAAGAACTTCTCCGCCTGGCAGGTCATTTGTCAATCTTAAACATATTTATTCTATTTGCACGAAAGTCTAGACTCGACAAAAAACAATAATTTCATGACAAAGAAATACACACACACACATGGACACAATTCAAATACAATTACGAAAAAAAAAAAATTGTACTAAACAAATATGTAGAAAAGTAAGCAAATTTATAAGCAAAAT